AATGATAGGGAGATAGTAGAGTTGAAAGATCAACTTGAAACTCATGAAAGTCCATTCGATAATGAGAATGTTGAAACTCCTCAATTGAGGAGAAGTACTAGAGAAAGGAAACTTAGGAATCCTCTAGATGACTTCATAATTTATTTGGTTGAAGGATCTAGGGATGTCCTTAGTTCTACTACTCCATATTGTTTCAATGTGGATAGTGACTCAAAGACATATAGTGAAGCAATATCTTCCCAAGATAGTTCATTTTGGAAAGAGGCTATAAATGATGAGATGGATTCCATCATGGGAAATAACACTTGGGTCATAGAGGATTTACCTCCCGGTTGCAAACCTCTTGGTTGCAAGTGGATTTTCACTAGGAAAAGGAGACCGGATGGCTCCATAGTGAAATTTAAAGCCATATTGGTTATCCAAGGCTTTAGGCAAAAGCATGGTGTTTATTATTTTGACACCTATGCACCGGTTGCAAGAATAACTCAATAAGGTTGTTAATTACAATGGCTTCGGTATATAATCTAGTGATTCATCAAATGGATGTCAAAACGACATTCCTTTATGGAGATCTAGAGGAAGAAGTGTATATGAAATAACCCGAAGGGTTTGTTTTGGAAGGACATGAAGATAAGGTGTGTAAATTGGTTAAGTCATTGTATGGACTTTTCGGATGCTAGTTGGATCACTTACAAAGAAGATGATTCTTCTGTAAGTGGTTGGGTTTTCATGTTTGGGGGAGGTACCATTTCATGGTCTTCCAAGAAACAAACTTGCATTGCGGATTCCACTATGGCAACTGAGTTTATAGCTCTTGCTTCAGCTAGTAAAGAAGATGAGTGGTTGAGGAATCTCATGATAGAGTTGCCTTTATTGTCTAAGCCAATGCCACCGGTGGCAATCCATTGTGATTCCAATTCGGCTTTGATAAAGGCTTATAGTCAAGTGTACAATGGTAAGTCTCGGCATATTTCACTAAGGCATAGCCTAGTGAAAGAGCTTATCAATGATGGGGTCATAAGTCTTGACTATGTTCCAACAAAAATGAATTTGGCGGATTGCTTTACTAAGGAAATGCCAAGACATTCCATCATATTTGCTATGAATGGAATGAGTTTATGTCCAAAAACACAAATTTGTGAAACCCAATCTAACGCTTGAAGAAACATCAAGTCTTAGATTCAATGTGGTTGAATCGCATTTTTTATGTTTGTTAGCAATATTTAATGACTCATATTGCTATGGAACTTGTGATGTATTAGGTAGCGTCAATTAAAAGTTCTCAAAGATTTAGAGTTGAGAAGCTCTAAATGTAAGTGTCTTGTCACAAGGGCACATTTACGTATATGAGAACCTACCTATATAAGTTCGAAGTTTAGCCGCTTCAAGAAGTCTAGATGGACATATAGGCTTTAATGAACTTATGATAGATACGGACACATGGCTGTTTAAAAGTCTCAAGTGATGAATGATTCGATTTATCTTATGTGTACTTCACCTTCGAATGGTTGGATATATCCGTGTGATTCAATCCATATGGAAATCATGGGATATGATCATCGTTAAGTGTGTTGTACTAGGTGTTAATTCAATCCGAAGGGACATTAACATTGATGCATAAGATGTGGCTAAATGATAGATTTGGAGAATGTATTAAGAAGACACTCTAAATGGGGGAGGATTGTTGATAATTTAGAGTGTCGGAGTGGAGCGTTCGCTCTACGGAATCGCGCTCGCGCCAGCTAGGCGTGACCCGCGATAAAACCGCGCATAAACCGCGATGAGTTTCTGGAAAATCTGGAAAGTTTGGAGGTGCGCCCGCGTCATGGCATGGCGCGACCCGCGCCCAAACCGCGCATAAATCGTGCTAACTTTCTGGAAAAATCGAAGTTTTTAGGCAAAGAAGGAGGTGCGCCCACACGAGCTAGAAGCGCGCCCGCGCTTCTTGCCGTTTTGCGGTTTTATGCGACTGTTGATTCTATTTTATATAGAATGAGTTTTTCGAAAGCAAAATATACAGAACATTATTCTCAATTCTTCTCCCTAAGAATTCTCCATATTTTCTCTAAATTTTCTTGCAAACTATTTTGAGAAATCTTCTTGATTTTAGCCTTCTTTGTGATTCATTCATGAGTTTCGAATCTTTGTGCTAAGAACGGAAAGAGCTGTCAATTTTATCTCAAAGGGAATTTCCGGATTAACCCTAGCACCGTGTGGGGGAAATTAATCTCTTTAGGAAAGTATTCATACGCCTTTGACAGTGTATCAAGATCGAAGTCTCAAGGGGCAATTTGATTCTCATGTTCATGTGTGGTTCTTCGGCTTGGAGTTTAGGCAAGTGTGATTAATCTTCTCACTAGTGTTTTTCTTTTGAAATTTCTGTAATTTCTAGATTATAATACTTGATTGGAACACCATTGTTGTGTTTGTTTAATTACATTACCTTGTTTTGTAATTATATATTTAGGTTTTGTTTCCCACACTGATATTATAAGTGTTTTCTAGTTTGAAATTCATTGTAAACCTAACAAAGATTAAGTTGTAATATTAATTACTCATTAATATTACTGATCGGAAGCGGCCTCCACCTAGGCATCTTGATCACTTGATCTCACTGAAGAATTAGCTTTCTAATAATTCCGAACCCTCTATCGGAATAATACACTTGTTGGAAGGACATTATTCCTTTCATGCCACACGGTGTGGCCTGTTGCACCAAAAAGTTGCTGGTATTAGTTTATTAAATATTTTTTGGTTTACGTCTATAACTTTAATTAAGAAAAGAAATTTCCGCTAACATCATTATTGTTCATGTGTTAACTTCTTAAAAAAAAAGTTCTTGCCAAAACTGTTAGTGGCTTCATTTTTTTTTAAGATAAATAAAGGTTTGAAAATGGTAAATAAGTTGTACATTTTCCTAAAATATTTTATGATTAAATTGACTAACTACACAATTTTCATAGAGTAAGAATAAAATAAAAATTGGAGGTTGGACTATTTTATTTTCCTAGAAACTTTTTATTTCCTCCTACTCTATACATTTTATAGTGATTGTATAGGTTTGAGGTTTCCACTCTTTAATTGTTCTTCAATTGTTTTATTGAAAGAAGAAACCACTAAATAATGCTAACATATAGGCTTATTGGGGATTGTATTTTGTTTTCATTTTTTTAACTAAAAAACAGGAAACTAGAAAAAGTTGTTTTGCCCTTTCCTGCTGTAAGTCTACAAAATAAGCATGATTCTAATAAAATTGACCAATATTTGCTTTATTAATGACATATATCAAACGATTTAAAAAAAAAGAAAAAAATAGATAATACTACAACGATACCAAAAGAACCCTTAGAAATTGGTTTTCAATTTATACGAAGTATTAAAAATGAAGTATACAATATAATATATAATTATTAAATGACATACATCACATGATTTAAAAAAGCAAAAAACAGAAAACCACAACAATATCAAATGAATCCTACAAAATAGGTTTTTATTTTATATTAAATATGAAGTATACAATATAGTATATAATTATAACGTTTAACATCCTATCCTTCGGTATAGCTCAATTTATCGAATGAGATGTCTCATGAGCTATTATGTTTTGCCTAAACTAATTATACTCTGTATTACACACATAAAAGCAAAAAAAAATTATTGCTAAACTCGTGCATTGCATCGGACTAACCTCGGTTAAATTACATATCTTTCCTTTGTTCCCTACTTTAACATTTTTTAATTAATTTTCTAGTATGAAAATTTAATTGTACACATATCTATCACTCTATACACTTTGTATACTTCTTCTATTTTTTTTAATCGCAAAGTTTGAGTTTTTACACTATTCACACATATGCTTTTAAAAGTCTTATATGATTTATATGTTGGAAAAAAGTATAGTCATGTGGGGTCTTTTTAGATTAGTCTCGATTAATACTTTTAAAATATTACTCCCTCTTTTTATAAATGTTTGTCCCATTTGGTATCTTCACGGTTTTCAATAATATTGTAATCAAAATATCTCAAGCTATGCATTATAAAAAATTATAAAAATTTTATATTTTGAAACTAAAAATCAAGACTAGTCTAACAAGATCTCTCATAACAATATTTTTTAGTATAGATAAACTATTTTAATTACTAAATTACATTTCCGTTAGAATTTCTCAAGATTCCTAATAGGATAAACGATAGAAAACAGATGGAGTAACTTTTTATACTTCCTCCGTTTCTTTTTAATTGACACGTTTCTTTAGTCACGTTTGCCAATGCACAACTTCAACCATTAATATCTCTAATTACCGATAAACAAAAATTATGAAAAGTTGATATTTTGAGAATACATATCGCGACGAATCTAACAAGATCCCCACATGACTATATTTTTCATTAGGTATAAAGCACAAAACACAGTCAAATGGGAGTGAGTGAATAGTGTTAAAGTTAAAACGTTTCAACTAAAAAAAAAAAGAGTTAGTAATATTTACCAACGTATACTTAAATATGTTTATGATATAAAAATTACATTGGCAAGGCTGAGTAATCCCAAATTCCTAATGTTACAATAAAAAAAAATTGAGGGGGAATATTTTCTTAAATCTCAACACCAAAGCTAGTGTGTCACTATACCAAAATAAAGAAATAACACAACTTAGAATTTGAATGGTGCAAACAAAAACTGACGAATAAAGGTATTGATTCGAGTCACTAGACCAAGTTTTGTCGAATCTATTCGGGTCGAGTCTACTTTAAGTATAACTCACACGCTTAAATCACTATAACATTGTATTTCATATTAGATCATTCTCGAAATAAGATTGCGATCTAATCAGAATGATCGAGTCAGCATTTAACACCCCTAGAGACCGAATCAACTAAGTACTACACCAAAATTAAATTTAAAAAAAGGTTGGATATCTGTCTATTATGTATCGCACCCATCGGCCCATCCATCAGTACATCATGAATTCCCCCTCTCGTCCAGCCTAACAGTAACTACCCCTTTTCTTTCATTCATCACTCTCTCTTCACTTTTTCTATCTGCTTTGCTTTCACAATCAATGCTCACCACCTTCCTCCACCTCTCTCTCTTTATTACCACCCAACCTCCTCCTTCTTCTTCTTCTTCTTCTTCTTCTTCTTCTTCTTCCTCTCTTATCTCCTCCATTTATTCTTCTAGGTCTTTTCTCTTTTTGTTTATTTATTTATTACTTAAACTGTTGAATTTCTCTGAATATTCACATTTTTGACTCCTTTTTCCATTTTCTCAACTTTTCTGGGTGTTTGTTTTTCAAATGGTGGATCTCATGTGTCTTTTCTCCTTTTTTTTGTATTTAATTATTTAATTTTTTCTCAGTTTTATCAGATAGTGGTTTTTGTTTGACAATAAATCCCAACTTTATTCGTCTTTTTCTTACTTTTTTTTATTTATCATTTTTTCATTTTTTGCGCCTCTTTTCTCTCTCTAACTTTTCAATATTTTCTTATCTTCAGTTTCCAATTTTGAATCTACCCTTCTTAGGGTTCTGAATATCCTGCAATAGTTAACTGGTAAGATTTCTTATTTGCTTAATTTCTTTGCTATGAATAATTAATTATAATTTTTTGGAGTAGGAGATGAAGAACATTAGCAAGTTAGTTGATTGCCCTAGATTTATTGTAATTTGAACCATTTTTTAACTTGTCCAATTATTTATGGAATTATCCGTTGAATCTTTGCTGGCATTAGTACGGAGTAGTATATAATTGTAACTTTTTTTTTTTAATTTTCCAAAATTTGGGGTTTTGGGTTTGCTCAACATTAGGAATTTTGACTGCTACTTGTTGGTAAAAACAATTAGGGAAAATTTTATTCGTATCGAATTAGCGAATTGCATGAAGGACAAGATGACGAGGACACTCTGGTTTATATTCTAAATGCTTGGTCACATGGTTGAGTAATATAATACTGATACTGTTGTTTAATTAGTAGGGGAGATTTGTTTATATTTGTTGATTGTATGTGTCGTTATTGGTATATATCGAATAAATTATTGGGGTTTTTTGTTTAATGCTGGCATTGTGATTGATGTTTGTTTGGTTGGTATGGTCACCAGTAAACGTATCGTCCAATGGATCAACAAATTTGACTTGAGATTGAATAGTGAGAACTGAGAAGTCGTAGTTTTTCTATTAGTGTACACTGTTTGACGCGTGGTGTGTTGTTATATCCGTATTCAAGGGTTTGGTAAAATGTGGGTACTCTCTATGTTGGAGTAATCTTGAACTTGAGTTTTCATGTTAATATACTTATTTGTGTTTAGATCCGTTGTAGGAGGAAATTAAAGGAGAAATCTTCCTTGGTTGAACTTGATCCAATGTGTTGGGTTTTCTGGTTTTGAGCAAATGGGTGGCTGTGTTTCAACTAGTAGTGGGAGCAATGGAGAAGCAGTGTCATCATCATCGTCTTGCTTAGGGATGGGATTGTGTGGTCGGAAGAGGAATAAGAGAACTTTCTCTGACCATGTTGCCACACTGCAACATCTGTCATCGATACCTAATCGGATTTTTATGAATGGGAAGAGTCGTAGTTCATGTATATTCACCCAGCAGGGTCGCAAGGGGATAAACCAGGATGCCATGATAGTGTGGGAAGTGAGTATTCTTTCAACTTTTTTTTTTTTTTCTCTTGTTATGCACATGGAGCTTTATATTGTAGCTAACATTTGAATCATTTGTGCTGCAGGATTTCATGGCAGATGATGTGACATTTTGTGGTGTATTTGATGGGCATGGGCCTCATGGCCATCTTGTTGCTCGCAGAGTGAGGGATGCTTTGCCATTAAAGCTGTTGTCATTTATAAACGCTTGCCAGATGAAGGAAGTTGGGCCAAGTGGAGCTTGTTGTAATGGTGACATTAAATCTGAGGGTGTAGAAGCTGAGAAAGATGGTTCAATTGAAGATAGTATTAGCTCAGTGTGGAGGGATGTTTTTCTTAAATCATACAAGGCTATGGATAAAGAGTTGAGGTCACATCCTAATGTGGATTGCTTTTGCAGTGGTAGCACAGCTGTTACTATTGTGAAACAAGTGTGTCATTGTCTATAATCTTTTATTTTATTGATACTTTGGGATTCTTCTCCCAAATTTAATTCTTTTTGAGGTTGCAGGGTTCGAATCTGTTCATGGGAAATATTGGCGATTCACGAGCAATCATGGGGTCTAAGGACAGTAATGATGCTTTGATAGCAGTCCAATTAACTGTTGATCTGAAGCCAGATTTACCGAGTAAGTGTGTATTATTGTAAAATTCTGGTTTTGTCCCCCTGGAGCAAATCTAATTAGCTGTGAAAGCTTCGTTGTAGGGGAAGCCGAAAGGATAAAACGGTGCAAGGGTAGGGTGTTTGCATTGCAAGATGAACCTGAAGTTCCTAGAGTTTGGTTGCCATTTGATGATGCTCCTGGGTTAGCAATGGCACGAGCATTTGGTGACTTCTGTCTAAAGGAATACGGGGTTATCTCTGTACCAGAATTTTTTCACGTAACTTTGACAGATAAAGATCAGTTCATCGTAATGGCCTCTGATGGGGTAAGTGTGCTTCTGTCCATTTGTTGTTTCCTGGCATTCACAATATGACTAATATAATACCTGTTAAATCACTTCAATGGCACTGATTTGACTAACTATTGTCGACTTTCTGTTACCATCAATAGCAAAGATGTTGAGACTTGTTTATGGATATAGTACATTTATTTTAAAGATACTAGTCTGCTTTCTTCGACTGGATGGGATTGGCAATATGGCATCTTGTCTGTTCAAACAAATATTTGGGTGAATTTAAATGCACTAGACTGGTCGAATTTGTTATTATGGAAATATAGTTTTGCAGGTTCTCAAGTTCATCCGTGTTTATCTCATATATATAGTATATTTCATTGCTAGCTCAATGAAATTAAGTTTATAATCTTACTGCTTTGACAGTGAGTTAGGGAATTCAGACCAAGGATCTAATTTGCAACTCTGAAATGAGTTGATGAAAATTTGTGGAATATGGTTTTTGGTTTTGATCAAGCAGTTGCAGGGTGGGATCTCTTTTTAGAAAGCAGGATTCTCACTACGTCCATTACAATCTTAGGTTTGTTGAAAGTCATGAATATGCCTTCTATTTTGTAAAGATCATCACAAATCATATTTTTCTAAGCTTATCCTTCCTTGCTTGGCCTAAAGTTTTCCTTGGAGTTATCTTGAAATCATTTTGGAGAGCCATTCCAAGCCTTGGAAGAGTATTTTAAGGGATAACTTATTTCAATTCATTCTGTCTACAATAAAGTAATAAACTAGGAAAGTTTGATCTTGTTTGCTCCCCTTAAAATGTAATCACAATATGTAATACTACTACCTCCGTTAATTTTTAGTTGCAATAAAAGGGTATTATCTGTGAGATGTAAAAAATTCCTTTGTTGCAATTAAAAATTAACGGAGTTAGTAGATGAAACTACTAAAAATAGGCTAAATATCTTAGTTGAGATTAGTTTTCCAATCTGCTTTTGTGCAATTCTCTCATAACTTGTAACTAATATAAGACTGAACAACTTGGATATGATTGGAACGAAGATGGGATTGATGATTATTTAGTTTCTTAGAAAGTGATTGTTTTGTCATGGAGATAAGCCCAATCTTCCAAAAGAATTTGATATGATTGAATCAAAGCCAAATTGTGTCAAGTTCTCATGATTACCCAAAATCCAAAACATTAAGAAGAGGGGACAGGTGATGTGCTGTATGGTTGCTTTTTGGCTCTTCTGTGATGCAATGAATATGTGGATGGAAGTGGTGGTCTAATTTATCCTTCGGAGACCAGAATAACACATAGTATTTTTGCTGATTGTGTAAGCTTGTAGTTTGAGAGTAGTGCTGAATTTGTACTATGCGGATTTTGAGGTTGAGTATTAGCCTTTGGGTGTTGGAAGCCCCACAAAGACCGGTGCTTTTAGAATGGCTGTTCTCTCTCTCTCTCTCTCTCTCTCTCTCTCTCTCTCTCTCTCTCTATTTTTATTTATTTATTTTATTTTTACTTGAACGAAATCAGTGTATCACTTAAACTACCTTGTTTGTGGGTATTTCTATACTTGATGCTGGTTCCTTTGTATATAGCAAGTCAAAGAACTGATTGGTTGTAGTCCTTGTTAGTAAGCCACATGGCGGTACATTGTTCAAGACCCAACTCTTTTTCAAACATGAGCACAATTATATTTTTGTGAGCTTGGAGTCCTAGAGAAGTGTTGATTAAGTGCTATGGCTCTTTTTCTTTTCTTCTAAGGTTGAGTATTGGCCATTGGGTTTGTAATTTCAGATGGCTGTTTTCTCCCTTATCTTCACCTATATGGTAGCTCAAAATAACTTTTTTACATTGTTATTTCCATTTCAATTGTTGAAGCTGATCCCATTGTTTCAATTGTTATTAATTGTTACTCTTGTGGGAAAGTCATCTAGTGGTACATGGTTTAAATCGTAATTCTTTTTTTTTTGCATGAGCACAAATTTGCTAGAAGTGTTCTGCTTAAGGATCTTCCACAACAATTTCGGGGTGTAAACAGGAAAGGGGGGCTTGGGCCTTTAGTGTGCAAATATTTGGCATGATCACCTTTGGTATAATTGGATAAAATAAGCTTTGGTTTTTCATCGAAGTAAAACTCATATAAAAGTTGATTTTTACAGTTTGCTCAGCCCTTCCATTAACTGTACCCACTCGGTAATTGCATCCTTCCAACTTGAATGAGGACAGTTTCCTATCTTCTAACCAAACACTGGCACAGTTGCCTACGTACAGTGAAATTGTATAATACCTGTGATTTCTTCCACGAGTAATCCTATCTTTTATTCTTGCTTGAGGTAATGGGAACTTCATTTAAGAAGAGAGTTTGTAGTTTTTGAGATGTATTCAGCTCTTTTTTGATTGCCAGATATACATTCTGTTGTTTCATTGTATCTATTTGTCTGGAAGAAGAAAAGATAAGTGAGTGATGTGTATCTGATCTTATTGGGAAAAATACATACGGGTAACTTGCTTGCAGCATGCCATGACATGTTTAGGTCTCTTGAAATATTGCTTCTCAAGTCATGAGTCACTCTCTACATTTTGGGACGAAGACAAATAGGTTTACTTATATAGTTTATTCTCTCTCTCTCTCTTTATTTTTTATTTTTATTATTAATTTTTTTTTTCCCAGGTTTGGGATGTATTGAGTAATGAGGAAGTGGTAGAAATAGTATCCACAGCTCCCTCCAGAGCATCAGCAGCACGTGTACTGGTTGAAGCAGCTGCCCGTGAATGGAAGCTCAAATATCCCACCTCAAAGATGGATGACTGTGCTGTTGTTTGTTTATTTTTGGATGGTAAAATGGATACAGAATCAGATTACGATGAACAAGGCTTCTCCTCTGTGACAATCCAAAGCAACCATTCTGGTGCAGCAATGGAATCTGATGATGGTCAGAATTCTGAACCATCTTTCCAGAGAAACATGACCGTTAGATCATCAGAAGAGAATGATTCTTTCCGTAGATTACCTGTTGAAGTAGTACCTACTGTGGGATCTGTTTTAAATGAAGATCAGAATTGGTCTGGTTTGGAAGGGGTAACTCGCGTCAATTCACTTGTTCAGCTTCCTAGATTTTCAGAAGAAAAGCCAAATTCATGATTCATTCTTAATGATTTAAATTATGGGATAGAGTCTGGTTTCTACATGATTCTGGGCTGATTTCTGGAGAAAGTTACATGTTGTAGAAGGTTTGTGCTGGTTCCTGTTTTGCTGTGAAATAGTTGTGTTGTACACCAAATGAAATGTAAAGGACATGAGTAGATATATGGCTAACATTCATTCTTCTCATTTCCGGTAAAATGTATCAATCTTTTTGCAGCCATCTTATTGTTAGTGTCAGCTAGTCCGCTGTCCTTTTGGGTCTTGTTTTCGGTATAAAGCTCATGTACAGATGACCTTGTTTGTTTTGCATACGTTTTTTTTTATTTTAGATGACCTTGTTTGTTTTGCATATGTTTTTCCATTTTATTTCAAGGGTCAACTTCGTCTTAACTGCTCTTAAATCTTCACTGGTTTCACAATCAGAAATCTCATCTGTCCGAAAATTTGAACAGAGCACGAAGAAATTATCTGTAAGTTGTTATGCTGGTTGCCTTGATCGGTCTCTTTAAGATCTATTCATTGTGTTCACAGATAAAAACTTTTTCATTCGAATCAACCAGAATCTCACACGGTTGTATACTTGTATAACCAAGAGCATTTGACAAATTACTAGCAGAGGATAGTTATTTTCTGCATACAAAGTTGACAAATTTCATATATCAACTAAATCGATTACAGTACAACAGATCGAAAAATTACAATCAAGTACAATGTTGAAGAGACTTGTACAAATTCTTAAGAGCCTGATCATATGAAATGAACCCCATAAACCAAAATTCATGTCCATCCTTAGTCAAGATCTCAATATACTTCTCAGCCGGCTTATTCGGGTTCGACGATGGGTTCATAGCCAACACCTGATCCAACATCACCATCACCTTGTAGTAAACCCACTGGCCTGGCCCGCCAACCGGTCCACTCCAAACCTGCGAATCACTCCGAAACCCAATTCGCTTATTCGATACATAAAGCGTACCCATCACCGGCCCGCTAGTGGTGGACAGATAACAAGCATAAGTCTTCTTAAGCTTCTCACCATTGACACTCCCAAACTCTCGGCGGAAAACATTGTCGCAACCGCCATCGGCGATGACACGACCTGCCTGCTCGATCCGTGTCATGGCAACATCGACTAACCCGGGTCCGGTTCTGAGGTGGTTGTAGAGGTTACCAGCGAAGGTTTCGGCTTTTTTGGTGGCGGTTTCGAGTTTACGTCCAAGATTGTTGAAGGTGTCGGAAGATGATGATGGCGGTGGAGCGGGGGAAGCGTGGAGGTAGGGGTTTCCGGGAACGGTCATGGTGGTAGTGTTGTTCATGATTGTAGGAAAGAGTTGATCGTTGAAGTTAAATGTAAACAAGGATTGAATTAGTGGAGTGAGAATCAAGAATGTTGTGGGTTTGGCACTTTTGCGTACAATTTGTCCTATATAAATGGGAAAAATGATGTGTGGAATCGTGTACTTGAGTAGGTGGACAAGAAGGGGCTCACTTTCATGTTGCAATTTGAAAGTTATGAGTGCATTTTACCGTTGGTATTTATCGCTTGTGAGTTGTGATTCGTGAAGTATCTAGATCATTAACATCAATTTCATAGTGGGTCATTAAGAGGCTAATAGACAAAGTTAAGTTATAGTAAGTGTTTGGACATAGTCCAAGTTCTAAGCCCAATGGCATGAAATGACGAAAATACCCCTTCATGATCCAGCCCACCATTAATCATTACAAAATATGGATTTACCCCTAATCTGTCCAACTAAGTACAGGTTTGCCACCTGAAAGTACAACTATAAATAACTCTCCAATCATTAATGATGACAACTTTTTCTAATTCTCTCTTCTTCTCTCTCTACTTTCTCTCTCTAAGTAAACTCCCCCTTTACTTTCTCTCTCTAGAAAGTACATTCGCTGACTAAAGTATCGAGGGGTTTTCTCAGGTCACACCCTCGGGGCAGCTAACCTTCTCTGCTTTGCAGGCCGAGCCCTCAGACATCAAGACGGAGCCCTCGGATATACCTTTGCAAGGCGAAGCTCTCTGACCTTTGGACAATTAGACTTGGATTCCAGGACATCTTGATACCTTACCCTAACACTCCTAGGAGCATTTGGTTTCCAGAAACAGGTGGCGCCGTCTGTGGGGATAACAAACAAAAAGCTATGGTGAACACTAAGCGTCCTCGATATCAAGATGTTACTAGAAAAGCTCCAATTCTTTCAACTTGGCATAATCATGTAGTTGAGGAGGTTGTACACCAAGCTCGAAGCAAGTCCGTGGGAGAGGTGACTAGCCCTCATGTAGTCACTCATCGGGATTTGGAGCAGCTGACAGCCCAAATCAATAAAAACCTTGAGGAGAGCCTATGGGCACATGTGAACCAGGGCGGGGGGCAAGGTAAGTTAGGGACGCTCCACAGCCTAACCCTTAGCTTCTCTGGCCCAACCCCATCAAGCATCCTCTCAGCCTCATCCCCAAGAGACTCGTAGGTCACGACCATACCAGTCTTCTGTAGCCCGGCGAGAGTCAGGTCAGCTGAGTCGGTAGAGAGATGCTAGGGAGATAATCAACGACCGAAGGCTGAACCGAAGGAACTTTGGATGCCAGTTGTTTTGGGTAAAAATACCCAGGCCACGTGGCCCAATCAGAGGGTGACACGTGTCACCTTAGGAGAGGTTCAAAACTGAACCAATCCTTAGCTGACACGTGGCACTTTCAACCAGTGGGGAAAAAGACGGCTTTTAGGGCCCAATTCCCGAGAAAAGCCGCAAAACGGCGCAGCTCCTAAAATCTAGGTCAAAATGACCTAGATAGGGGCACATTTACCAATGACCCTATAAATAGGGAGATTTACCTCACTTTGGAAAAAAAAGAACCCATTCAATTTTGATAACACAATCAATTCTCTCACATTAGAGAAAAACACCCGATCTCGGAATCCAAGAAGATCTTACTTTACTTTCCGCACCCTTTTACATTCTTCGACTAGTTTTAACTTGATTGTCGGAGACGGAGCTCCCACCACCTGGAGTCTCTGTTGTTTTGTAGGTACAGGCGCCCGGAATCCACACTTAGTGACGTAACTCTCCCGAGGGGCATAGAAAACCTTGAAACATTTGGCGCCGTCTGTAGGGAGAGTACCTCTAAGATGGCTTCACAACCGTCTGTATCGCCTCCTAAAGAGAAACGACCTACGACTGAAGCTGGGGTCCATTCGAACCATGATACTGATGACTTTGAAGTCAAAACGTATGTGGCTGCAGATGGGTCACTCAGAACTAGACGCATCCGGCCCAAAGATATAAGGGAACGGGGCAATGATCAATCGGGTCCAGGCAGGTCGTCCGGCCAGCCATCTGGTCAACCCCAGGCGGCAGGGGAGACTGCCCCTGTTATCCGAGATGAGCTAATGAAACTCATGGCGAGTTTCAAGGGAGAGATCAAGGATTTGATCACAAAGAGGACGGCTAGTCAAAGCAAGTGTTAGTCGGCCAAGAAGCCTTCTCTTTCTAAGAAGAACAAGCCAGTCAGGGATCGAGAGCCCACAACACATCCTAAATCAAAGGAGGGGAAGCGTCCCTTGATTGATTTTTCCAAGATCCGATTTCATGAGACAGGGAAGAACAAGGTCATCCGACATGTTTAGCCGGATGGCTCAAAAAAGACATACTTTGATGCTCGGTTCCTAATCGAGCCGAAGAGAAACCAGCAACTGTTTGAGTCATCTTCAACGTCGAGTTACCCAGACAGCTTCCAGAATACCTCAATAAGGTATTTTCAATCTGTACGAGAGAGTCAGTCGGGCGGCCCGTCCATCCACACTGGCCCTCAGATGATCCATTTGGCCCTGTATGTGCCTCAGCAGCTATACATGTCGTATGGACAACCTTACAAGTAACCGGCCCTCTTTGGGGGTCAGGCGACATATAACGTCCAACCTTAGAACTGGCAACTCCGTCTGCTAAAACTTGGGGAACAACCTTCGGCGTTCTCTAAGGAAATAACCGAGGCGGCACAACCGACCAAGGTTAAAAATGTTTTGGTTGGTACTTATAATGGTACCACCAACCCTGAAGACCACCTCATGGCCTACACTAACCTCATGTACTTGCAGGGGTTGGATGATGCCACCTAGTGCCGATGCTTTCCGGCTACATTGAAGGGCATCGCCCAAAAATGGTTCGGCAACTTGCCAGCCGGCTGCATCAATAGCTTTAAGACGCTTGCGTTCTTGTTTGCTTCTAACTTCTATATGAATGTCCCTGCCAAGAAAACAAGTCTTGACTTGGGTGCAGTGCAGCAGGGGGATAGAGAAGGGTTTCGGTCATACGTCAGGCGGTTCAATCTGGTGAGAATCCAGATTCAAGGGCTGTCTGACAATGTGGCTTATACAGAATTCTTCAAGGGTCTGAAGGACGGGTTGACTTTTAAGTTTGACCTCGTCAGAAAGAGGGTTGCCACCCTCTAGGAAGCGCTGATGGAGGCGGAAGCCTATATACAGGCGACCGAGCTCTGCTCCATCAGCAAGCAGTCGGACTCCAAGAAGTCTGACAAAAAAGAGAGTCGACAAGCTCAGCCGGCTAAGAAACCTGAAGAGAGTAAGAAGAGAAAAGAGATCTGGGCGGTTAATGACTCTCATCAGCTATCCTAGAAGAATAAGAAAGAATTTAAACCGGACGTCCCAAAGTACGAGTTTAACAAAGACTGCTACTCCATCCTCATGGAGATAAAGGACCGGGTGACCATAGAGAAGCCCGCTGCTATGAAAGGTTCCGCCAAAATCGGAACAAAAACAAGTACTACCACTTCCATGAGGATATTGGCCACGACACCAACGACTGCTATAGTCTCAAGTGGCTATTGGACCGTCTGGCTGATAAAGTGGTGTTGAAGTCTTACATCCTAAAGTCTAAGGTGACCATGAAGACAAACCCCAGGTAGTCATCCAAAAAATATGCCAAAACTGTTAGTAGTTCGGACACTGACAAAGAACCGACCTACACAGTAGGAGACAGCTTTGATGGAGGGGGCCCAACCATCAGGGGCACCAAGGACCATGTCAGACGGCTGGATGTCAGTTTAGTTAATGAGGGCCAGGCGTCTACTGACACCTTCCCTGAGGTCATCATCACTGAAAAGGACAGGGGCAAGGTCCACCGACCGCATGATGACCCCATTGTCATTGAGTGCAAAGTGGCTAACCAGAAGGTCGTCCTGATCCTCATTGACACCGAAAGCTCGTCTGACATCATCAGCTACAAGTTCTTGTCAAAGCTGAAGTACAAGCCCGACAACATGCACAAGGTTTCTCACCCCTTGGTTGGTTTTGGGGGTGGAGTTGTGGACCCAATCGGACGGATTGACCTACCCATCCGGCTGGGGGAAAAAGGAGAGGGACGCCACATGGTAGTCCAGTTCTTGGTCGTAGAGGAGCTGACCGCCTATAATCTGATATTAGGCCATCCGACTCTAAAAGAATCCAAGGCCGTCATTATTCCATCCCTCATGCTGTTGAAGTTTGAGAAGGATGATGGGTCTGTTGGCTCCCTGAACGGGGACTAGAAGACGACAAGAGAGTGCTACCTCTCAGACGTTAAGCCCACAGTGGCCGCAGCCGGCCGGGGTGAGGAGCCAATAGACCTTGACAATGTCAAGAAAGCTGAGCCTGCTCCAACAGTAGCCGGAAAGAAGAGAAAGGCCGACTAGTTGGTGGCCATGGAAAAAGATAAGAAATAGCAATCACTGACCGGGGAACGGTTAAATGAACTCCTTCCCCAGCTGGCTGGTGAACATGTTGATATTGCTCTGGACGATAACCTTCTGGAGCGTACTCTTAAAGTTAGGGCGGCTGCTCTTGCCAAGCTGGGTGTAGACTTGCACAATTTGTTAAATGAATTCAAAGACATCTTTGCCTTTGAAGTGGAAGAGATGCCAAGCATCAGCTCGGATCTAGCTGTCCACAAGCTCGTCGTGGATCCCAAAAAGAAGCCGATTAGGCAAAAGAAAAGAAACCACGGCGAGGAGAGAAGTTATGTTGGGTTTCGTAGCGTGCAATGCTACGCGGAAGAGAAACCCACCCAAGACCCGCTCACTAATTAAAGCAACTAAATATTTAATCACATAATTAACAACATCAAAGAGAGAAAGGGAAATGACAATCTTACCCTTAAAGCGTGCTTCGCTCCTATAGAGCTCGGACTTTATAGGGAGATGCCTCATTGAGTTCAACTCAAGTGTCCCTTCCCAATCCCAAATGATGGGAATTTATAGGGAAGAAAGCTCTTGAACTTCAATCTCCCATCCATGTGGGAGAGTTGGTAAAAT